GATTCTCATAGGTAAGTAACCCAGAAACCTTCTGGGAGCAAAGTTACCACACTCCAGACACTCACCTTGGGCACTCAGTGTTATGGAAGTCTGTCAGGAGAACTGGCTGGTCATGACCAGGTCCCAGTGAGGAGGAGAGACAACCCAACAATCTCAAAGGCCCCTTTGAGATTGTGCCCTTGGCCAAGAAGTTTGTTCAGCAAAATCTCTTTGGCAAATTTGGAACCCTCCAAACTCAAGTCCTCCCGCAGAAGAGTTATTTCAACATATGCCCAAAAGTTGTGACAAATCCATTTCTCGTTCATTGTAGCCCTTAAAGACGCATGCTTAGTGAAAATTCTGTTCTTAAGCTGATGATGATGATGATGTCATAACTTTCCTCAGTCATGCTCATTAACCTATTGGGCAGTTTTGTATCTTTGCTGGCATAACACAAGATATTTGCCTCTTTTTCTGTAATGGAAGCCTTCTGATAATACTAATCAAAATGTGCAGGGTAGCCATTAAATATACACAGTAAGGGATGCAGTGAATAGAGACTCAGCTGCCTTGCCAGCCCATTTGACCAAAAAGCAAGACAGTATCCTGTAGAAAGATATGAAATAAGTGATTAAGAACCTTTAAGAAAAAAATGACAGAAAGTTTTAAAGGAGGTGGGGTTGGTAAGTGGATTGATAATATATCCTAAGTGTAAAAACTTACCTCGAATAATAAAGCCTAGCATTTGTAGAAAAGTTCTTTACTGTACAACTCTTTTACATAATTTTCTTACTTAATTCCCACAGCAATTCTGTGGTGAATTGTGACCCTGCTTGGCAGATATGAAAATTGACCCTCAGAGAAATTAATTGATAGTCCCCCAAATTTCATAAGTAAATATGTGGCAGAATCTTAATTTAAATTTTTCAGCTTGGGCCTCCTCAGTGGCGCAGCAGTTGAGCGCTGGGCTGTGAAGCTGCCCGCAGCCTCTGCAGCGCTGGTTTGATCCCTGGCCACCGGGTGAGGGTCCCACATGGCGCGCAGACCTCTCCTGCTGCCATCTGCCTGTTTTTCTGCCTGCTCTGGCTCTGGCAAATTCTCTCACCCTCCCACACTTCTGACTGTACCTAGTGCTTGTATAAATAAATAAATAAATAAATAAATAAATCTTTTTTTAAAAGAACTATTAAAAAAATTAAATAAATAAATTTTTAAGCTTGCCATATCCCATTATGTAAGTGATTATAGATGACATTGGAAGGGGGGTAAAATTTGATGTATGTATCATTTTGCTATAAAATGTAAGTGATATGGGGAGCACAAAATGGGTACCCTTTCCCATAATAAGATTACTTTTCAGGTTACATTTCAGTATCATAATTAAGGGGTTTTATTTATCTGAAAGAAGGTGAGGCCACTCTCATTGCTACACTTAACTGCATGCAGATTTTGTGCTGCCTCTTTTACATTATTGATGAAGCTTAAATGTCAAGATCATTGCTAGGAATTTTCTCTGAGAAAGCACCATCTATCACCTGTCATCCTGCTCCTTTGCCTTCAGAATAAAGATATATATTCGATAATGAACAAAACTCCTGCCCCTTTGTCAAACGCACACCCCAATCATCCTGAAAGCTGAAAAATAACTAATTGCAGACACCTTTTTATTTCTGTTCTGAGGGATGAAGAAAGTAGTCTGCATTTCTCAGAACTGAAATTCACTGACAACCTAGCAACTCATTTTAACCCTAGTTTACCTTTTTCTTTCTGAATGGTTTCAATGGTCCAAAGACAAAAATACAAATGCTGAGCCAGCTTCAAATGATAATAATTTAGAATCATTAAGGTGCTTTATAGTTTCCAAAACCTTATTGTATAATTTAAGCATGTTTCCTTTAAGCATAAAGCAACCACATAAGATAGAGAGGTGTTATCCCCATTTCACAGATGCGAGAGCTGAGGTCTACTGCTTTGGCCATGGTTGCACAGCTACTATATGACCTGAACCCAAGACTTCTCATCCGAAATCTCTGCACTAATTCACAGATAATGAGCTGCCTTTGCAACTTGCATGAAATAAAAATAACAAAGAAACACAAGTGGAGCTATATAAAAATATAGTTATTTGTTGCTTCGGATAGCACTTTATGTTTTCATGTATTATGTAGTGATGTTTTTCTCTCTGTCCATGGCTTAGATATTGCATTTTCCAAGCTTGTGAATAGAAAATGTCCAGCTGCCCTAAACGACCAGCTTGACATAATATGAGCTCTTTGTTTACTCACTGAATAGGCACAACTTGTGCCCTGCCAGCTGCTTTGTCCACAGTCTTAACCTTGTTCTGTAGAAACCACCTGTATGAGTGGCTGGGTAATGAATGCCATACTCAGGTTAGCCTTGGGATCTTCTGTTAAGATCCGATCAGATAATGCCTTTGAGTGTGAACAAGATTCCACTCTCTGAAGTAGGTTTGGGCCACCGAGGCCAGGGAACACAGACTTCCAAATACTTCATTTAGAAAGAATCTTATTCATGGGAAGCTTCTTGTATGAAGAAACTGTTTAGGCAGAGAGATATTTTAACACTGCACTCAAGATACCTGATTAAAAAATCTGTGTGGAAAAGGAAACAATAACTGGGAAAGCTGTTAATTTTATTGTTCATTTTAAATGTCAGGAAAAACAGAACATCAGCCTGATGCAATTGGTAGGACAAGCAAGAAAGCCAGAGAGTATTACGATTGAAAAATTGCCCTGTCTTACTCATGTTGTTTCAGAGAGCGAATCACTCTAAGATACAGGTCCGAGACCAGATTACATTCTTTTTTTCAGGGGGAGGGAGGTGATTCATTGGAGACATCTGTCCAGAAAAAAATGAACTTATTACGACTGAGAACTGAAGCCGGTTTCCTTCAAGATAGAGCAAAAACTTTAGTAGTAGGAACCTAAATAATGAGGGAGACAAGCCTCTAACTGGATGCTGAAGGAGTCTTTTCTGTAGGTATACCCCAAAGTGGGCACTGAACTTTAAGAGGTGTCGTTTTCAGGATTCTTAGAAGCCACTTGTAGTTTTGATGTATGAGCAACTGGCAATCATCAGACACATGTCGACTAAATGCAGAAGCTCACAGTGTTTAAATAAAGTTTTCATTCTTTAATCAGTGCCATCGTTAAGGAGCAGTTGCATATGTGCTTTCTTTCTAGTCAAACAAAAACAATCAGCTCCTCATCCCCTGGTGAAATTATACTTTATTTGAACATAGGTTGAGCATGTTGCTGCTGGGGAAGGGAGGAAGACTGTGTTGAGTTTGCTAAACATTTCCAGCTCCATTTGTTGACAGAACCTTGAGGTATTTGGAAGCTGTGTTTCTGCTGCCTACAATGATAGTTGTTCTACTGGAAATTTAATTGTGAGTGGGTTATGACTCTGAACTCTTTAAAATTTGTTCCAAGTGACCTTTTCTCCAATAGGATCCAAACTTGGCCCAGGGCTTTGAAGATATCCCTTCTTCCCATCCAGTCAGGAAAAGTAGGAGCCAGAGGAGAGTGACACATATACCTAAAGTGAGGAGACAGTTTGTCAAAGAGATTAGCACCCTACCTCAGAGAAGTCTATCTCTAAATTGTGTAAATTTGGTTGGCAAGGGATTATTTTGTGATCCTGGTGTGCTTCCTGCTTCTGTTTAGTCTGAAAAGCTTCCTAAAACATTTTCCAAAATCCACTCGTGATTTTCTAATCCTTCCTAATACATGGACTGCTTAAAATGCAACACTTCCTTTTTTTTGCCCCCTTAATCCAAGCTTTGAAAATGCAAAGAAATGTGTGAGCTTAAGCACCGATTTGGGGGAAATGAGGAGGCTGGTGGAAGCACAGTGGAGTGGCCGTCCTGTCATCCACAGACGTTACAGAAAATTTTAATCAGTCTGTGTTCAGTGACTTCAAAAAAAAAAAAGCAATGGCTTTGTCTTATTGACCCTGTTTATGTTGGAGTGGGGGAAAAGAAATGTATTGCACTCCCTCTGCTGGCTCTGAAACTGCAACAGCTTACTAACCAGACCTATTTTTAGATGTATTTCCCCATTAAAAAAAAAAAATCTGTGTGGAAAAAGGAAACAATAACTGGGAAAGCTGTTAATTTTATTGTTCATTTTAAATGTCAGGAAAAACAGAACATCAGCCTGATGCAATTGGTAGGACAAGCAAGAAAGCCAGAGATTTCAAGGTTTTCAGCACTGTGCTAATAAAATGACTCGCTGCTCCCAGACTTTCAAAATGACTCAGTCTCTTTCAGACACTGAAATTGGCTTTTCCCAGAGCTTAATGAACAAACTAATTCATTAGTATGTTCAGTGTGTTCAAAGGCCAGAGAAAGGAGTGACAGGATGAAGAGAGGGTGTCGCACCCCTGGTGTCAGAGAAGAAAGCTGAAAGATCATCACTCCAAAACTTTCCCCCTCAGGGGAGGTCACCTTCGTGCTTGGTACCTACAAGTCTAAAAGAGAATCACAGGGCCTCCCTGGTGGCGCAAGGGGTTGAGACACAACCTATGAAGCTCTGCAGCATGAGTTCAATTCCCAGCTGGGGAGCTACCCACATGACGTGGCAGACCTCTCCTGACTCACCTGCTGCTCGCCTCGGCAGTGTATTTCAGTTAGTCTGTCCGTTCTGTTCCCCACTCTGTCTCTGGTGAATTCTCTTACCCCCCACGCCTCTGGCCTGTACCCCAGCTCTTGTATGCATAAATGGATGAATCTTTTAAAAAAAAAAAAGCAATAAAAGAGAATCACAGCACATGGAATCTGACAGCCAAGAGGACTCAAGAAGCAAAGGTTCTGTTCATGACTGAGAAGCAGCACCTAGGAGGAGAGCAAAGTGCTCTAGATATTCAGGGATCCTGAGGACCCCAGGCCCTGTTTCACTCTTTTCAGTCAGCTCATTGAGGCTTTTCCTGCAAGACTCATCTTCTGCCTGGGTTTCATTTGCTCTTTTCCAATTTCCATTCTTGCTTGCTTTCTTCCCCAGGCGTCTGGATGCCAACCACATCAGCTACGTACCCCCTGACTGTCTCAGCGGCCTGCATTCCCTGCGGCATTTGTGGCTGGATGACAATGCTTTAACAGAAATCCCTGTCCAGGCTTTCAGAAGTTTATCAGCATTGCAGGCCATGACCTTGGCCCTGAACAAAATCCACCACATACCAGACTATGCCTTTGGAAACCTCTCCAGCTTGGTGGTTCTGTAAGTTTTATCGATTTTTTTTTCTCTGTCTCTTTTAACAGTTTCTAACCTCACTGTAAGACCTTGGTCTTAAAGGACTGGCCCTTCAAACCTTGAATAAGAACATTTTGGGGAGGAAACCTCCTTGAAGCCCTCCCCAAAATGACTCATAAATGTTCTAATTGTATAAAAGAATTAAACATTTCTCAAGCACCTGCTGAGTGCCAAGCATTGCTGGGCATTCAAAGATAATAAAATATGCCCTCTGTCTTAGAGGAGCTCATTGTTCACCATGCAAGTGATCACCCAAATGTACAATGAACACAGTGACCCAAGTTAATAAAAATACCACATTTCTAATCATTCATAAATCAGGTCAAATTGAAATATGCCCTCTTATTATTTAACAAGTACATCTTGAACCCCTGCCAAGGTAAGAGAAGCCAAAGTGAACACTTGATGGGAGCTAAGTATTTATATGGCTTTTTCCCCAAATAGGTCTAGATTTCATTATATTAGCAAGTCAATGTGATTCTCAAGAATCAAGTCAACGTGATTATTTAAGAATTAATCAGTCTTGGGCCTCCCTGGTGGCACAAGGGGTTAAAACACAACCTATGGAGCTATCCACAGCCACTACAGCACGAGTTCGATCCCCAGCCAGGGAGCTACCTACATGGCGCAGCAGACCTCTCCTATCTTGCCCGCTGCTCCCCTCAGCAATGCGTTTCAGTCAGTCCACCTGTTCTGTTCCCCGCTCTTTCTCTGGTGAATCCTCTTACCTCCACGCCTCCGGCCTGTACCCCAGTTCTTATGTGCATAAATAAATATTTAAAAACAAAAAAAGAAATAATTAGTCTTCTTGAAGAGTGCAACAATATACCCCACACATAAGTCATCAATGGTGAACAGGAAAATAGCAGTGCTCTAAAGGCTAAAAGATCAATTTGGGTAGAAATAATGAGAGAAACTTCTTTAGTGTTATTCCCTTTCACCCCTCAACCCAGTGCTGCATTTGACGATTCCACCCAATGTCTTTAGATAGCAGACTATATGTGTCTGTCTCTTGCATTGTACTATATCTTCCTCTAGGGCTGGTCAGCATCTTACCCACCTTTTTAGGTTCCCCACATCTCTTTTCCCCATGTGTTGCATGTAGAAGATGCTCAGTAAATCTCACATTGAAACTAATAAAACGTGTATTGGAATAAAAACTTTAGTCTGGAAGGGTAAGATATTTTTGGTGCTATTCACAAATTTGTATCCTGAATTTCACATACAAAGATGCTGCTGCAGACCCACCAGAGGCTGGGTGGGTGTTTTACTTCTCTCCTCCATAAGAGGGAATGGAATTACAGAGCTCTACCTCTTCTTTTCACCCTTGTCCTCATGTCCATTTTCCCAAAATCCCTTTGGGATTTGGCCCAGTTTTTAGTTCTGCACACAGCTGTCCTCAGTGGCCCTGACCTCACTGACTTATCATTGAGCCAAAGATGATAATTATATACACAATGCTGTGTTGAGATAGTTGATTTCCTTGGTAGTTGAAAAATCTGATCACCACTCTGTGGCTGAAATGTAATTTCCCGTTAATCTGGGCACACACCCTGGGAATGTAGTCATTGGAAACCATCGGCTTCCATAGAAAATGTTTGTACCGTCCTTCCATCTTCCATTGGTCAATAATGGTCAGTATCTCTCTTGAACATCCTGCATCCCACAGCCATGCTGAACAACCTGAATTTACTTTTGTCAGTCATGTTGCTCATATTATTATACTCTCTGACATCTCAACCCAAATGGTAAAACTATGAGCACTTATTAAAGTCTATGGTATAGAATCACCTGTGGTAAGAATGAAGCTAGCCTTAAAAAAAAAAAAATATTAAGCAAAGAATTTCTTATATACAATTAGTAGGTTCTTTAGTATAAGTTTCTCTGGCCTTAAGCAATCAAAATGTCATGCCTGGCCTCCCTGGTGGCGCAAGGGGTTAAGCACTGCACTATGAAGGAATCCACAGCCTCTGCAGCACAAGTTCGATCCCCGGCCAGCCAGGGAGAAACCACATGGTACAGCAGACCTCTCCTGTCTCGCCCACTGCTCCTTTCAGCAGTGGATTTCAGTCATTCTGCCTGTCCTGTTCCCCACTCTGTCTCTGGTGAATCCTCATCCCCCACATCTCTGGCCTGTACCCCAGCTCTTGTATGCATAAATAAATAAATATTTTTTTTTAAAAAAGTAATGCCTAAGTTTCTATGTGTGGGTGCCTTCATCGCTGTGTCTGTACCATTCTCCTGCAGGCATCTCCATAACAATAGAATCCACTCCCTGGGAAAGAAAAGCTTTGATGGACTCCACAGCCTAGAGACTTTGTGAGTTGACCTTTTATTTGTTTCCCTTTTTTCAGTGTTTTCATGAGTATTCTGAAGGAATCAAAATAGCCTTAATGTCAGACTTGTTGTTTGGTTTGGTTAATCGTCTGAGCTTAAAACAGGTACTTACAGTCGCTTTATCTTATACACACACACACCATAGCTAAACAATAAAAATGAGATTTTGTTTTAATCTAACAAGTGATAAATTAGTATAATTATAAACTAAATGAGATGTTTGCTATTGAGCAGTGACTGTTTGGTTAAGAATGTGTATTTGTCAAAGATCAACCCTATATTGTCCCTCAGGCTCACTATTCATGAGTCTGGTCCTCCCCACTAAATGAGAGGATAGAGAGCAGGCAAATACCCAAGGATCAAATCTGAGATGAACAGCCATCTCATTAGCAAACAGCAAAGGTTCATGAAAGCAATTCAAACAACTAAGACATGTAATAGCTACCATTTATTAAATATATCTATTGTCAAATATTGCACTGAGCATTTGGCATACATGGTTTCAATTTACCTTTACAAATTCTGTGTGAGAGCAGCTCTTCCATTTTAGGCTCTGATGAAGTTATTTTACCAATATGATATATCTATTCAGTACCATAACCAGAATTTGCTTCGTTTCTGTAATTTGACTTTGAAATCCATGCTTACCTATTACATACCACTTCCAAAGAATGGGTCAAAAGTTCAGCTCTGAATTGGGACCTATAATAAATATAGAGTCCAGTCAGCTGACCACAGCCTAGAGCCTCTCCCAGTCTCTGTACGAACGATTCTCGTAGGCCACACCAGGGTTCAGCCTTTTCCCAGGGGAGGAGCTGCATGTCATTGTCCTGTGAAGTGAGAGAAGTATTATGAGACCAGGGCTCAGGCAGTGAGTCATGGTCCCATGTGTGCTGGAAGAGGAGGGTGGCTCCAACTGACCCCTCCCCCCAACCACTACCACCACCACTCCCTTGTTTTTGATACTCAAGTGCAGCAAGCCAAAGTACCAGCTGAATTCACCAGCTGGCTCTACCCTGACTGCAGAAGGGATAACCAAGGATCACCTCCCCTATGGCCCTGGCGTCCATTATTCCTGTGCACACAAAACTTAGTAATTTGTGGTCAACTTAGCCTCCAACTAGGTCTGGGTCCACTAATTTCCTGGTGGACCATCTGTTGGTGGTCTTCCTGAGATTGATGAGCACTGACAGCTCTCCTTCTAGGGTTACTTGAAGTCACTGTGCGTTTCCTCTTAGAAGGAAAGAATCATCCATATAAGGAGATGCTACAGATGAACTTGTGCAGACAAGACTATAGTTCCTGTCAGCTGCTAGGGAAAATTAGAACTTTTCCCTTATCTGCACAGGACTGGACTGGGGATCTTAGCAATGGAAAGCACCTTCCAGTCCTTTTCAATACAACAGGAACAAAAAATAAGATGGGCTTTGATAAGTATTTCCATAAATAGTCTTTCTTTCCCCCACTGCCTATGTTTGGGGTAAGGACACAGGATTGCACATAAATACCATAGAGTCAAACATTTCAGGACAAATTCATGTGAGTCTCTTTGCCCCTCGCCTCCCCTCACCTTGCCCAGGGCTACAGAGGATCAGTAAATTGGTTGTTCCCAACCTCTTCCTTTTCCCTCGCTAGAAATCCAAGTAATTTATAAGGGCCCAATCCTCGTTTAATCAAAACAGAGCATCTGGAGAGATTTACAAACAGGAAGAAAATTTATGTCACAAAAGACATGAGTTTCCTGCCTGCAGTATAGCTTAAGGATGGTTTGTGCCAGACAAGTAGGAATCTTGATTCATGTCTAACTCAGTCAAATTATCTCTCTCTTAAAATTAAATAGCAATTCTCTCCACAGAGGAAGATCTAACCACATCTGATTGCCTGTCCAAAAGGCTTTTCTGTGTCATCTGGGAAATCTGCCATTCCCAGAGACCAGGAGGCAATTACTTTTTCATATGAAGATGTAGATATAAGGTGGAGTAAGTCTATAAAGCGCACTTGTGAGGAATGGAATGAAAAGCCATTTATGTCATAGCAGATAGAGAAATTAATGGTTTGAGGTCGTTTGGCCATTCAATCTCTCTGTGTGAAGGCTAATACAGAGCTTTGCCTCACAGACCAAGGAAAACATACAGCAGATCTGAATCATTATTTGTGACCCTGAGGAAATTCTAGACCTGATGCCCTTCCTGAGAGTACCCTGCACCACATAAACCTCTCTGAAGCAGGTTGTCATCCAGGAGCTCAGGCTGGGAGTGACTAGGGCACTGTACAGGCGTCAGGGACAAAGCATCTCTTCATGATGCTGAAAAACAAGGAGAAATGTCATCGGGTAAAAGAGGAAACAAGAAAAGGGGTGGGACTCAGGAGCCCCGGGGAGTGCGCATTTGAGCTGGCGACTTAGTGAGACAAGTTTGGGTGAAGGACCAGCTGGGCAAGCAGTCAGCTCCTGGCTGGGTCCCTCCTAATAGGGCGTTAATGGTGCTGCTGGTCCCTGTCCTTTTCTAAATGTCCCCGATGATATTGAACCTGACTCTGAAATTTCTTGTATGTAGTAGTCTCAGGACCATTTTTAATGCAGATGCTTGTGGGATGATGGTGGTTAGCAAGCTAGGAAAATCTCTTTCCATAAAGAGAAAGAATGAGCATTTCCATCAGTGTCACTGGTCCATTGGAATAGGATGTTAACTTTCCTTGTAACAAATGGGAATTTTTACTCAAAACTGAAACTAGTCCTTACTTTTTTCCAGAGATTTAAATTACAATAACCTTGATGAGTTCCCTACTGCAATCAGGACACTCTCTAACCTGAAAGAACTGTAAGTATTCAGGACAAATTTAATGACAGATTCTATTCTTTGTGACTTTATTTTAAAATATGTGTGGGGCCTCCCCTGGTGGCGCAGGTGGTTGAGCGCAGCGCTGTGAAGCTGTCCGTAGCCTCTGCAGTGCCGGTTCAATCCCGGCCAGCGAGGGTCCCACATGGCGCGGCAGACCTCTCCTGTCCCGCTCGCTGCTCCCCTCAGCTGTGTATTTTGGTTGTCTGTCTGTTCTGTTCCCCACTCTGTCCCTGGTGAATCCTCTCACCCTCCTGTGCATCTGGCCTGTACCCCGGTTCTTGTGTAAATAAATAAATAAAATCTTTGAATAAAAAATTTTTTAAATTAAAAATTAAAAAAAATAAAATATGTGTTGGGGGCCTCCCTAGTGGCACAGGAGTTAACATCTCAGCACTATCAAGCTATCACCAGCTACTGCAGCATGAGTTCCCTCCCCAGCCAGGGAGCTACCCATATGGCACAGCAGACCTCTCCTGTCTCGCCTCTGCTCCCCTCAGCAGTGTACTTCAGTGGATTGGCCTCTTCTGCTCCTCACTCTGTTTATGGTGAATCCTCTCACCCCCCACACTTCTGGCCTACACTCTAGCTCTTGTATGCATAAATAAAAAAAATAAATCTTTTTAAAAATATATGAAATAAAATATGTGTGATTGTTGCTCATAATGACTTGCTAGAAAATTTACAAAGTTCACTACAGATGTTCATTCTAAAGTTCATTCTAGATAATGGCTAAATACACTTGAAGTATATTTTGCTGGATTCTGTCATCAGCAAAAATCAGATAATTTTTTTAGTTTATAATGGATTTCTGTAATGTATTTTTTTAATTTTTTCAGCTTTAAAGGAACAATAAAACTACCATCTATTTTTGTAATTAATATTAATTGTTAATGGTTAAATCTAAAAAGTCATGTAATTTTTTTCATTTGTATTAATAATTGAATATTTTTGACTATCCAAGTTTTTTCCTAGGGTATGTGTAACATCATTTGCAAATTATAATTTTTCCCTCCATATACACATTTACTCCTTCTTGTGTGTATCTGTACATACGAGTGTTTGTACTTTATGTCTTGTGTGTATCTGTACATACGGGTATTTATAATTTATATTCTCAATGGAGGTGAGAAAGTATATGCCTACAATCTAGACTATCCCTCAAAGCATTCTATAATGCCTTGTGAATTTTTTAAAAACACATAAATATAATTGGGAGGAATTACACTTTTAATTTTAATACTGGGAATTGCCTTCATCAATTTATATTTCCACCACAGAGGTAAGAATACCTGTTCCTTAATCCTCACTAACACTCAAGTAGATGTTTGAGGAGCAAAAATCATTTAAAGTCACATATATATTTTTAAGTATAAATTTATCTATATCCAATATGTATTCATAAATGGTCAATATATATTTTTAAAATACACATATTTCTCTAAGCCATACTCTTTTCCTGAGCTATATTCTCCTGTTATTTGTATACTTTATAGATTTATAGCCGAACTGTAATGAAATTCAGTTGTTTGTTGAGAATTTCTAAGAACAAACTTTCCTAGATTGTCGAAGTCTTCTAGAACTGAATGAGTACTATGTGCCTAACAAAAACATGATTTTACTGAAGTAAAACTAACGTTCAGCTAGTAGGTTGCATCTATTGTTTTGTATATATTATAAATTCATTAACTTTTCTTTGTACCCAAAAGATGAATAACCTATGTAAAGAATGTTAGAAAGGAAAATAAACACCATGCTTTATTCTCCTGGCAGGTGGAAGTAAGACATCCAACTATAGGAGGTGAACAGCAAGGGCAGTTCATAAGAAATAGCCTTGAGGCGATTGGTTCTGCCTCAGGAGACCCCACCTGTCTTAACTCATCATTGTGTGTGGTCAGGTGCCCTTCACTTCAAGCAGCTACAGGCCCACATAGGATCCAAAGATCCTGATTTGCCCCTCTCCCATTCCTACCATGTTAGCACCAACAGATGAGTCAGTTCCTTATTACAGACTCATTGAGCTGGGACAGCTTCCATCAACTCGGGAAATTTTGTTCCCATAAGGAGATTACTTAATTCTGCTTCATTGCAGTTTAAGTCAATTTCTCTTCTCCGAGCTTCACGGGGGTCAGGAGGAATGATTATAATTTCTCCCCAATAGAGTCCCTGCTGTCTCATATTGTTAGGTGATGGTGCTAGATATTAAAAGAGGAATTTCTGCTTATACCATTAGATTGTAAGTTTCCATAAAACACAACAATTATTTTCAGATCCTGTACTCCTCTTTCAAGATAGCAGGTTGTGATTTTTTTTTTCTCCTAGAAATAAGTGAGGACATGTTAGTCCCAGTATGCATAGGGAAATTAAACCTTGTCCTTTAGTTACCAAAGGTGCTGGTTATTGCCTGTGGGGGTAGGAGAGAAGGCTACTAGATAATTTTTCTGCACACATTATTTTCTGTAAATTATGTTTCTCTCTTTCTAGAGGATTTCACAGCAACAATATTAAGTCGATACCTGAAAAAGCATTTGTAGGCAATCCTTCTCTTATTACAATGTAAGTGGCTATATTCTATTATTATTTATTATTTTTTTCTATCCTGACTTGTACCATGTATTGTACTTTTAAAAATGAATGTTCTAAATTTGCCTGAATTTTGTCTCAGTCACTGTAAGAAGTTTCACAAGGAAATATATAGGAGATGTTTTACTAGGTATTAACCTAATGCGGTTATAACAGAAAAGGTTCTTTCTCTTAGAATTATACTTGATATCTTCAGAAGCCTTGCCTCACTTCACAATGATCTTTTTGAGGAACAAAACTGATTTTTAGGGTGTCAATATCTATGTCACATAGTCACTCAGTCATTGATAACTTAAACTTAACTATACTAGAAGAATAGATTATTATAGTCAATGTTCTCACCAAAAAAAAAGAAAAGTAAATACATGGGGGAATACTTGCACAATGAATACGAGGTATATCAGTAGTATTTGTCTACAGTAGCATGTGTATCTTATAAATACTGTCAGTTATAGCTCAGTGATGCAGATACATACATACAAACACACAGGGGTCCTCTGCAGGAAGACTCCAGCCTGAAATAATGGTAAGAGGTAGGAGATAGGCTGAGTCTTCATAATCATCATTACTGAGCCGAAGCACTGAGTCACACTTATACAAACTAGGATATAACTCTGGAAAGGTCCATCAGTTTTTTTTTGTTTTTTTTTTTTTGTTTTTAATTTTTTTTTTTTTTTTATAGAGGCATGTTTTTATTTATTTATTTATTTGTTTGTTTGCTTGTTTATACATGCACTGGGTACAGTCAGAAGCGCGGGAGGGTGAGAGAATTCACCAGAGCCAGAGCGAGGAGCAGAGCAGGCAGAAGCGAAGTACACTGCTGAGGGGAGCAGCGGGCGGCAGGAGAGGTCTGCGCGCCATGTGGGACCCTCCTCTGGTGGCCGGGGAGCAGCCGGGAATCGAACCGGCGCTGCAGAGGCCGCGGGCAGCTTCGCAACCCAGCGCTCAACCGCTGCGCCACCGGGGAGGCCCCCATCAGTTTTTTATATGCCATAAAAACCCAAAATAGATTTAAACTAAAGTATAACGAATTTCATGTTTCACATTTTGCACAGACAGGAGATCAGTCCCATATAGATATATAGGAAGATGAAAATATGTAAACATTAGGTCAACTCTTAATTTCAAGCTACTGTTAGGTGGGAAGCATAGTATTGGTCTGAGATCATGGGTAAAGTGTCTCAAATATGGAAGAAAGAAGGGCAACTGGGGCCTCCCTGGTGGCACAAGTGGTTAAGTCTCAGCACTATGAAGCCGTCTGCAGCACGAGTTCAATCCGTGGCCAGGGAGGTGACACACATGGCGCAGCATACCTCTCCTCTCTTGCCCACTGCTCCCCTCAGCAGTATATTTTAGTCCATCTGCCTGTTCTGCTCCCCACTCTGTCTCTGGTGGATCCTCAGATCTCTCTGGGCCTCTGGCCCGCACCCCAGCTCTTGTATGCATAAATAAATAAATCTTAAAAAAAATGACAATTATTCAGCATGACTCTAGAGGCACTTCTTGTGTCCTGTGTCAATTTGACTTAGAAGCTTTCTGGAACCTTGTAGCTTTTGTCACAAATGAGTTGGAGTCCTGACAACTGAAAAAGAAAAACCATTCATCATTTCTGAAAAGTTCTGACAATATGTTGGCAAACTTAGGATTTTAAAGTTTATTGCCAATAAACATTAGTCCTCATTAGAGAGTATTTACACATTAAAAGATTGGCAAATTGCTTTGCATTTGCTCTTTCTCCTTGCAGTCACTGGACTGGTTTTCTTAATTGCTCTTTTGATATGCTAATAACTCTGGGGGAGGAATAACAGCTCCAAAAATTTACTAGCTCGTCAATCCAGTATTTGCTGGTGTTGTCCATTTTCTCCATGAAACTGACTTGCTTCTGCCTTTGTTCTGTCTTGTCACTGCCACCCCCATCCATGGTTCCTGATTCCCAGTTTCTGTGTTTCCTATGTTCCATTGACTACAGAGTCCTCATTTTAATTCTTTAGTCTCCACCCTAAAATTTCTTTTCATCCCCACTGTCACCAGCCCCCTGTCACCAGCCCTCTGCTAGCAGTAACCTCTAGATTTTCACCAATCGCTCCTCTCCTTGCCTCTACCACTAGCCCAGTCATCACCTGCAGCACAGAATGAATGTTGTCACTCTCTTGCTGTGAAACAAAGATTCCAAATTATCTGTTAAATCTATTAAATGGTGTATCCTTACTGAAGTCATTTTTTTAAGATGTATTTATTTATGCATACAAGAACTGGGGTAGAGGCCAGAGGTGTGTGAGGGGGGTGAGAGAATTCACTAGAGACAGAGTGGGGAGCAGAACAGGCAGACTGAAATACACTGCTGAGGAGTGCAGCAAGCTAGACAGGAGAGGTCTGCTATGTCATATAGGCAGCTCCCTCATTCTGTAGAGGGTGTGGATTTCTTTACAGTGCTGTGCTTAACCCCTTGCGCCACCAGGGAGGCCCCTTACTGAAGTCATTTTGATGAGGTTTTGGGTTCAATGAGCTGGGTCCTTGGGTTACCTTTGAGAAAAGTTTCAGCAGAGTTCCCCTTTCAAGTTTTGCCAATCAATGAATAGAGACAGAGGAAGAAAAACAGGTGAATGACCTGACTGACTGAACTGACTCCTTAGTAACCATCACTCATATCTGCCTTGCTGTAAGATTTTCTTGGATTTCTATAGTGTGGATTTCTTCATGAAAATTCATAATGTATATATGTTTCACCTAAAACCAAGTAGTAGTGAGTGTTATATAAGATAGTATAAGCAAAATTATATAAATACATTTGATGCATTTGTTGAAATTGTTAACAGGCATTCTTTTGTCATTCTAGTTTTATACTAAGCCATTTGAGTTTGGATTTTTTTTTCAGACATTTCTATGACAATCCCATCCAGCTTGTTGGAAAATCTGCTTTTCAACATTTACCTGAATTAAGAACACTGTAAGTTCTTATGTTCCTTATAAGAACTCTCTTTCTTACAGGGTTGTCATAAAGAACAAATGACTATTTTTAAATTGAAATGCTTTGGAAATGGCCATAAAGGTTACCCCTTTCTAGAATCTTCTTCCAATAATATTAATGTTCTCTTCTTTCTAGAACTTTGAATGGTGCCTCGCAAATAACTGAATTTCCTGATTTAACTGGAACTGCAAGCCTGGAGAGTCTGTAAGTACTGGAGTAGGCTCAGGACTTTGCCCAAAACATGTACTTCCCTGAGAGCCTGACTACTTATTGCGCTTGAATCAAAATATGTCAGTGTGATGCCTGAATAAAGAATTATGTTTGGTTTGTGTTTCAACAGGACTTTAACTGGAGCACAGATCTCATCTCTTCCTCAAACCGTCTGTGATCAGTTACCTAATCTTCAAGTGCTGTGCGTATCAGTGAGGCAATAATGTTGTGTAAACTGGCAGCTTCCATAAAGGGGTGAAATGGCAGACATTATTTCAATAATCCTTTAAACAAGGAGAAAGTGCTTTGCTTGCAGATCACCAGGAGGTCAGGCCTCCTTTGCCGATGATGGAAGTGCACCCTTTGATTTCAGGTCCCAAATATCCTCCCAGTAGAGATATAGTTGGTTCCTGTTTCCTTTCAGAAATCATTTCATTCCCCTGCGAAGACTTTGTAGGGCACATAAAAAATAACATAGTAGATCAAAAACTAAAATGGATGCCAAAATAAAAAAAACTAAGTGGGGGCCTCCCTGATGGTGCAGGGGTTAAAGACAGTGCTATCAAGCTACTGCCAGCTACTACAGCACAAGTTCAGTCCCCCACAGGGCAGGAGCAACCCACATGGCACAGCAGACCTCTCCTGACTTACCCTCTGCTCCCCTCAGCAGTGCATTTCAGTCAATCTGCCTGCTCTGCTCCCCTCTCTGTCTCTGGTGAATCCTCTCACCCCCACTCCCAATCCTTGCACCTCTGGCTTATACCCCAGTTCTTATATGCATAAATAAATAGATCTTTAAAAAAAAAAAACTAGGTGTCAGCCTCAACCAAACCTTAATAAAGGCAAACAAACATTCTCCAGTGGAGCTGTGGGTCACATTCTAATATTTCCTCTAACAGTGAAAGAGTTCACATGTGTTATTACTGTTGGCTTGTGGCTTTTTCCCTCTGTCCTTCCCATGCCTTATGAAAGGTAGTTTACAGGTATTTGAACAGCCTTATTTTGGCCTTCTATTTTCAGTCCTCTCCTTTAATTCCCACTCAGCCCTGTTATCATCCTCTTGAGCATTGTTCGAACTAATGAAAGGCCTCAGTCTCTGGCCACAGTTCTGTTCTCACAGAGCAGATATCCTCGGCAGCTGAATGCCTCGAGTCCACCACAGGCTTTACCTAGCAGCAGAAGTACAGCAGTACGACAGATGTTAAGTAAAAGAATAGAAGTATCTGCCACAGTGATTCTGCCTTCCTCCCCCACCGGCCTGCTGTGTGACTTCAGACCTCAGCTGCTCAGTGATATGGGGGTACAATAATGCCACGACAGCCTTGGAGTACGTCATTCATGTATAAAGGAGGGGAATTCAAAACCAATCCTACATCATCCTATAAAGTGTAGATACAGATGAGAAAACTAAGAATAAGAGCAGTTTAGTACACTTGTCATCACACAGTAAGAAAGTGGCAGAGACCAAATTCAGATACAGTTTCAGCTGAAAAAAGTGTATGTACAACACCAGGAGGTGGATGTCTTTAGAGTCACCTTGAAATTCTACCTATCTCACCAAAAATAGGTATAATTATCCTCATTTCTAGCGAAAACTGGCTTGGTAGTTACCTCGTGAGGACATGACTAGGGTTTCATATTCTGTAACTAATAAGTAAGGAATTAGTATTTAAATTGCATCTGCCAAAAAAAAAAAATAAAATAAATCGCATCTGCCTCCATGATGTCATACTCTAATTGGTTAACCACCTTGGTCTAGAACTGCATAAATGGAGGCTGATTAGTGAAGAGCCAGTACTCTACAGCCTATTTTTCTGGTCCAAAATCTAATCTCTCTATATGCCAGCTCCATCGCTTAAGCAAGTTATTTATCCTTTCCAGGCTCAGTTGCCCAATCATGAAACAGATGTAGCCACTTCCTTCAGATGATTATCATAAGGATTAAATTACTTACTACGTGTCAAACAGACCAGCACCTGGAGCACTGTAAATTGTCAGACACTGTTACTTTTATCTACTTTTTTCTCACTTCTTTTACATCAGCATTCTTTCCTCAAGTTATTCTTTTCTCAAATTGAAACTTGAAAATCCTGAAAGAACACAAATATATCATCAGCAGTAGCTAGTCATTTTCAAAGCACTTCCACCTGTAATATTAGTTCTTCTTCACAATAATCCTGCAAGACCAACATTGCAGATACCTTCTCACTTAAGGAGAGACAGAGAAAGATATCAGTGTTCTGGCCAGCGTTAACAACCAAGTAGAATTAGTTGAAGGCGAAAAGGAGTCCTGACCTCAGTTACAGTCTACTTTATGTTCTAGAACATATGTCTGAGTTTCCCCACTTTGAAAAGATATATTTTTATTTATTTATGCATACAAGAACTGTGGTGTAGGGCCTCCCCGGTGGCACAGCGGGTTGAGCACAGCGCTATGAAGCTGCCCTCAGCATCTGCAGCATGGGTTCAATTCCCGGCCAGCCAGGAGATACACACATGGCGGGGCAAACCTCTCCTGTCTCGCCCTCTGCTCCCTCAGCAATTTTCAGTCTGTCTGCCTGTTCAGTCCGTCTGTACCCCAGTTCTTGTATAAATAAATAAATCTTAAAAATAAGAACTGGGGTGTAGGCCAGAGGTGAGGGGAGTGAGAGGATTCACCAGAGTGGGGAGCAGAACAGGCAGATTGACTGAAATACATTGCTGAGGGAAGCAGCGGGAGAGACAGGAGAGTTCTGCTGTGGCATGTGGGGTTAACTCCCCAGCTGGGAATCGAACACTTGCCACAGTAGCTGGCCATAGCTTGATAGCACTGAGACTTTAACCCCTGCAGCACCAGGGAGGCCCCAAGTTTCCCCGTTTTGGCTGAATTATCCACCTAGCAGCTGGTACGTGAGGAATTTCACCGTATATGAGAGATTTGCCTCCAAGTTGTCTTATCTCCATTGGGATTACTTGATTGTGTGCAGCTTGCCTCACTCGCCAGCTGGTGATCTCAGGCAAGTGATTTCACAGTGTGTGGAGATAGTCACAGTGTCTCCTGCATAAGGTGCCACAGGATTAAAGGATATAATTCAGGATAAGCTGTGAACACAGCATCTATCTAGAAGGCTGATCATTGACAGCAATGAAAATCATTAGGTAGAATCTAAAAAGGAGGCAACACTGTTTTTCTGTAAAAGAAGATTTTATGGACTATCTACTAAGAAGCACACAGGAAGGATTGTCCCCTTGCAGTTTGGGAGAGGAGTGAACCAATTATCAGTTTTAATAATATGTGTGTCTTTATTTTGTTCACTACTCTTCAAAAATGCATAGCATATTCTTAGTGGGGTGTATTTTGTGTGTATAGGTGTGGGGTATGGTTTTGGCTTTTGTCTGTTTTTTATTTGGTTTGGTCTTTCAAACCTCTAGTATAAACTACAAATTTGTGTTTGCTGATAGGTTCATCTGAACTATTTATGTGTAGTAAATGAACTGTATTTCTATATAAATTTATTCAATAAATGTAGGATTAGGTGATCAATTATAAGAATGAAACCATTTAAAAACCTCTTAGAAAACAGTATGGATTTTTCAGTTGCATTATGGTGATCTGGTTTTAAGAATGAGAATCAGGCATGAAAATGTGTTAGTTGATTAGCTGATAACTTTTAAAATATGAGACAAGATTTTTTTTTTTATATCCGTTACTTTATCTACCAGATTTCTTTTTTTAAACTTTCTGCAAATTACCATGGCTTGTTTTAGATTAGTTATATTATACTCTAAATATGTCCAGATGTTTTTGTCCTGTAATTTGTTGAGTTTTGGCTGAAGACTTTCTTAGATTTTTTTTCCCCCCTTGTAGTGATTGATTTCAAAGTGAGTGCTATGTTTTGAATTGTTGTTGGTTTTTTTAGTTGATTAGAAAAGAACCAACAATGATTCTCTTAGCAGTAGAGATACAGCAGCTCTTACAGACAGAGGCACAATTATTTAATTTAATTTAATTTGTATTCATTTCAGTAAGATAATAGCTAGAACATTGTAGATCGTCACTAATAAAATATAAATAAATTCATTTGGTAAATTATTTAAATCAATTAAAGAGGTATAACAGTTACATCTCAGTAAACATTTGATTTTACTGCTTAATCCAATAATGCCTATGAATACCTGCTCCATGTCAGGGCTGGGCAGCTTTCAGACTCTGCTTTGGGGAGATATATCATCCTAGAGGGGAAAGGAGAGCAGAGCATGTTTCCTTACTATTAATATGTAACAGATTTTCCCTTTTGTAACTTCTGTTTTTCAGTGATCTGTCTTACAACCTGCTAGAAGATTTACCCAGTTTCTCAGTCTGCCAAAAGCTTCAGAAAATGTACGTCTCTAAGGGTCTTTTAGTCACCTATCAAAAAACAAGAGCCAAAACTCACATTTCCAGGGGTCATTGCTTATCTTATGGTTCACTGAGGAGACATTTGATGCTTTTCCTTCTTACATATGCAAGGTGTGATTATATAGGAGGACGATAAAATTGGGAAACAGATAATAATATTTTATCATACATTGTGAAGCATAGCATATGTAAGGCATTTCTTGCGTATTTGGTTTTTTCCCTCCTAACTTGGTATAAGAACTGGGTTTTTTTTGAACTTCAGAATTTTTATAAACTTACCTATACAATAAGTGGTGTTATTTTTAATATGGGGGACTTGGGTTTGTTTATGTTTGTTTCTCATTAGTCATCTTTGGAGGAGGTGCCATATTTGTCATATTTTATGCATGAGACACTTTAAAATTGCTGTCTTAAAACAGCCTCCTCCACAAAACATTAGCTTATTCCTTTATAGTCATGTTGATCATAACAATGTTAACCATCTATCCTTTCCCAGTTAATTTTTCTCTGATGCCTGGGAAATTAAAGGAGAAAAAAAAAACCCCACCAAATCCATCTCTAAAAGACAAAGATTTGACCTTCCCAAAGACCCTGAAAGAAAACAAGAGAAGCTCGAATGCAAGGCCAGGAGCAGGGTCCTGAATATGTTTGAATGATGATAGCATTTGGAATAGAGTTTTATATCCACCCACGGGAACTAACTGCTTTGAAAGAGATGTGTATACATTTTAATGCTCTTTTTAAAACAAAGCAAACTTTTTTTAAATGGTCACTTGATAGTCACAATTCATGGGTTCCTTTGATGGAAGGCAGCTAATCCCTCAGTAAAAGTGCTCTGAAAACTACTCTTTGAAACCAGTGACTTTGAAATCAATCTTGGAACTCTGTCATTTCAGAGACCTCCGCCATAACGCAATCTATGAAATTAAAGTTGACACTTTCCAGCAGTTGCTTGGCCTCCGATCTCTGTGAGTATCACCTCCCGGCACCTTCTCAACACAGACCACTTTCTTTCTCTTTTAAGTCTTCCCCTAAAATATTTTCTTTTCAAGATATACTCAGAGTGTTGGTCCTTCATGCATATATTTGCTATGGAAAGGCAAATATTTTGCTTGTGATAATTTTAGGAATAAATTCAAAAGTAGTAAATTTGTAATCTGCCCTCTGCCAGTCAGCAGATGTGAACATTTAATAAAAAAGAGGCAGGTCAAGCTGCTGAGTGGCCTCCAAAATGTGTTTCTGCCCTCAGCCTGGAATTGGCAGGAATTGCTTTGCATACAAAAGGATGACACGCAATTCTTTCTGCCTGTTTTGCTTTCTGGGTTAAACAGTTCTTAACAAGTGTCTCAGAGCACTAAGAATCACCTGGGGGCTTCTGTGAAAACCTGCCTCCTGATTTAGAATCCCTGGAGGCAGGCCCAAGAATCTGCATTTTAACAAGTACTTTAAGGTGTAAGCACAACTCGTGGAAATTACTTCTGTTGCTCAAATGACTAAACTTTGTAAATATGACCCTCATGAAATAATACTATTTCCAAAGCTCTAAATTCACTCTTAAGTATCACCTTCTCCTAAAAATATATTTTGAAAGCCATCTTGTTCTGAATTTAATTGTGTTGCCCATTCCTTATGTTTGGTCTAAATCATTTTGTGAAATCCTTTTACTTTTTTTAAATAAGTGTAAAACAAAAATGCCTTAGCCACCTTTGCTACCTGCCTTATTTACCAGGTTGGAATTCTTGCTGTTTGCAAAAGTCAGTTTTATTTTAAAAGGTTGATATAGTTGAGAACAATATATTCTATAACTGAAATTTGCTAAGAGAGTAGAATTTCAATATTCTCTCTCACACACAAAAATATAGATAAAAGAATACTGTGTATTTCTATACACATATACACGTATATACACATACAAGTTGCATATATTTTTAAAAAGGAGAAAGACTGTCCTCTAAGGATACCAAAAGAATGTGGCACAGATTCTGCAGGTTATATCTCAGGCCCCCCTGAATTCTTCCTGGCTCTGAGGCCTCACATCAGGTCACTTAAACCAAACTCCACCAGTTCCAACTCATTCACTCTTGTAGCTCAGGTCCGTGGACTCACTCACCTGGATCACCATCATCATCTTTCTAACCTGTCTTTCCACCATCAGTCTCTACACATCCATCTCATTCTCCAAAGACTATCTTTCTTCAGTAGAAATTCAATCATGTTACTTTCCTGCTACAAACATCTGCTTTTCCCCTACTGTCTTCCAAGACTAAGACCAAACTTCCCAGAATTGTCCTTCAAAACCTGATTCCAACTTCCTGCTACAACTTCCTCTCTCACCCACAAGTTCCCACTCCCCTGACACCCTACTGTTGATTCTGCCAGTCCCCATGATTCCTCCCCACTCAACTTGCCCCTGATCATCCCTGCACTAGAATAAGAGCTCCTGCACTGAGCGCTGCCTGATGCCTTTTGCTAATCCTCTGCTACTCAGCTCTGTCCTCAGCACCAGTATCAGGTAGACGGTGCTTTACCTGGAAACAACTTCTTCATCTTTGTATCCCCAGGGTCTAGTGCAGTGGTTCTTTCGGTATTTACTTAAGAATTCCAAGCATGTTCTGAGCAAAATACCAGGACCTCTGAAGTCAGGCAGCTTGGGTTTGAATCCCAGCTCCTGACATTACTGACTTTCAGCACGTCACTTACTACTTTGTGCTTCATTCCTCACCAATAAAATGGGGCTAATGATAATTTTACCTTTTAGAGCTGTGCTAAGAGTTATGAAATAACACACTTAAAAAAACAAACAGAAACAACCTCATAACCTGGCACATATTAAATATACAATAGCATCATGATCATTGTTATTATTATTATTTTCATCATTATTAGAACATGTATATATCTTTTAGGGTATAGCATTGAAGGTTCTGGCAAGAAATGAATTCACCATAGATGGTTCAAATGAAGGGACATGTACACAGAGGTTGGTGGGGAGCAAGCAAGGGATGGGTGTGCATGACCAACAGTGTGACCAATACTGGGGCTGAGCGAGGAAAGGGTGCTTCCAAACCCCAGAAGGAGCTGAGGCACAGGGAAGGGATGCCTATGCCATGAGAAAGTGCAGCTGCTGCCAGAGATAAGATTCCAAAACTGAGGGAGCAAACCACAAGTGCCCAGCTCGCTCCTGAGGGGGTTTCCACAGGGAATCCAACTGGAACAGCAGGAACCGGTGGGGAGCAGCCTGCTTGCATACCCTGGGGCACACAGCAGAGCAGGAGAGGGGAAATGGTGCCTCCAGGGCGACTGAGAGGATTCCAGCTCAGGCTCACAAATAGAAATGGAATTATAGTCCTTTGAACATATAAATTCTCCCATCTTTACTTAAAACTTAGTCAAGTTTCTACAAAGCCCCATGGCCTACTTTCCTGGTATCCCGCTCTGTCAAGCTCATGGGCCCCCATGTACTACTTACAGCTATCAAAGCAACTCTGATAGATGGCATGACCAGTTTCCCTCACTGGACACATGTCTCAAGAGCTGCTTAAGAGGAGGCAGCTCTTTCCTCAATTCTCCAAAGCCAGACCATCATTCTTAGTTTCCTCTCTCCTTCCATGTCATTACTTCCTCCAGTTAGCTGGAATTTTCTTCTGTTCTGGGATCAATGAAAAGGTGTAGAATAAAAAAAAAAAAAATCCTTGAGTTTTTTATGCAAATGAAGGGGACTTTCAAATGTGAGTATAAATATTCTGTGAATACCATTTATCCAAGATAACCAGGGAAACTGATAGTCATAAGTAAGTGACTATCAGTAAATGGTAGAGAAAAAGTGATTCTGGTCACTTCCAAGTTACTCAAATGTCTACACTTAAGTTACCTTATTAGTTAAACGTTTTGAAAATGCAAATTTTAAGTCCATTGCTTCTTTTCCTAAAATGTGGAAATTCTTATTCCTGCTAAATTATCTGTTTTATTACATATGTGTGTTGAGTGAATTTTATTTCTCCATAAATTATAGACTTATCTGTAATTATAACAGGATTTTTTTTCCAACATAGGTTAGCCCCTCTTTTATTCATTTCCCAGTTAAGAATTAAAATGTCCATCTCCTTTACAGGGAATTTTTTTAAAGGCATCTCCATATTTCCCTTAAGGCCTGACATGCATGGGCGATATGGCCCATGTCTTGCTGGGTCTCATTACATTAAAATTTACTTGCTTGTCAGAGGAAGAACCTCAGAAGTTCCTGTCTTTTCCCACTCTCCTACCCACACTCACCTTAGGAATGCCTTAATAAAATTTTACGACCATATTACAGTCAACTTTTAGCAAGAAGAAAATAAAATCTGAAAAAATCACCTGAATGACTTTTCCTCCATTGATTTAAATGAGGCTAACTTAAATTTCTCTCTCTAATCAGTTTTACTCTGTGAAGTATGACTTGGTAAGCTAAATTGTTCAAATAGAAATTAAATTTTGGTAGAAGAATGAATATATATGGGAAAACTTCACCTGGTTTTGTGTGTGTGTGTAATTCACTCATTTACCTTTTTTTTTAAATAGGAATTTGGCTTGGAACAAAATTGCCATTATTCACCCCAATGCTTTTTCTACTCTGCCATCTCTAAGAAAGCTGTGAGTATTTCACTTGTTTATGGCAAGACTTTTAATAATTGGGGACCATCGATTTAATTTAAAATATTGGTTTTGCTTAAGAAGCCCACAGGCACAGATTGCCCATCGCTCAAACTTTAGCCACCCAGAGCTGTATCTGACCAGAGATATGGGCCTTTAGGTGGATAATTGAAGATCTAGGTGACAGCTGGTTGTGGTTACTGAGGTGAAATTTTCCATTTTTGCTGAGTGATTACTCAGCAGATAGAATGGAATAAGATTTCAATTCAGTTCTAAGGGGCTTTCGTGTTAGAGTTTACAGTCTTGACTGACAGAAAACCTTCCTGTACTTTGTTTTTCCCACTTCCCCTTTCCACCTGTCCTTCCTTCCTCATGCTTCCCTAATTGAGAAAGGAGTAATTGGTCAGACGGTAAGAAAGGCTGATGGGAATGAAGCCCCCTTCCGAGACTCTTCCCTCATTACTAACTTAATCCAGTCAGCATCACTTTTCAAATTAAGTGCTACGCCTTCCACTGGATTTTAGATGTCCCCACCTGACAAAATGAAGCTGAATCTAGAAATTACAATCTGGATGTGATGAAAACATCCCCCTTCACACCCACAATTTTGATCTAACATGGAAAAGTTTTCAGGAGCTCAAACCAAAATGGTTCCCTTATCATTAAGACTAAGGACCCTGCTTAGAGTTTTTATTGAGCACTTTGATAATCTTTCAGTTGCTTTTTTAACATAGACGCTTTATGGTAACACAAACTAAAAGCCAATTGTTGTTTGATGTTTTGCAGGGACCTATCGGCCAACAGCCTGTCGTCTTTTCCTGTAACTGGGTTACATGGTTTAACTCACTTAAAATTAACAGGAAATCATGCCTTACAGAGCTTGATATCATCTGAAAACTTTCCAGAACTCAAGTGAGTTTGTCATTAAAGCTAATAAGATACATTTGTGGTCATGTGAAATAATAGACGTGTTATAGTGGTTTTCAAAATTTATGAGGTCATGGGACTCTTTTGAATTGCAGTTCGTGCCTTCAAGTACCCCCCACCCCAGGGTATTGTTAGGACAAGCCCTGAAGAGGGAGAATGTGTCTTCCTGGCCACACTTCCTTTTGTTTTCAAAGATGCCTCCCGGAATCATAGAGTTCATAGAAAGAGTTTGAAAATCATTGATCCATGGGATATAAACTAGAACATGTAATTAAATAACATTATAACTTTATCATACTCCTGTTTACATTTTTTAATTCATCTCACTTGTGTCTGCTCTAGATGTACTAAATTCCTTATTTATTTAAGGAAGTAATGCTCTTTAAAATCTGTTATGTTTATTATCGATAAAGAAATGCTTTGGAAGATTTTATATACATATAAAAGCACATTATTTTTTCACTTTTGAAACCATAAACACACTTTTAAGATGATAATCCCAAGAGAGAGAGTAGAAAGTAGATGAGAGAAAAAATATCTAAAAAAATACCCCCTAAATACATTTTTTGTTATTTCCTTCCAGATTTGGTTTCCAATGTATTTTTAATTGTTAGAGTAACAGTATGCACATTACTTAACATTATGTCATAAATACTTGTAAGTACAACTTTCCTAGCGATCATTTTTTTTAAGTTTTTTATTATGAAAATTTTCCAACACAAAAGTAGAGAAAATAATGTGATATACCCATCACTTAGCTTCCGCAGTTATCAACATTTCCTAGCAATAACTTTTAGCAATTACATTGTTATTATAAATAGCAGTGTAATGAACATTTTTATGTACATGATTTATATTTACTATTATTTATTTAGGATAAAATCCAGAGACAATTATTCCATAATTATCCTGTGTTTTTGTTTGACCTGTGTTTTTACTTGACCTGTGTTCTTGTTTGGTTTTGCTCATTTAAAGGGTTATTGAGATGCCTTATGCTTACCAGTGCTGTGCATTTGGAGTGTGTGAGAATGTCTATAAAATTTCTAATCAGTGGAATAAAGGTGACAACAGTAGTACAGAAGACCTTCACAAGAAAGATGCTGGGATGTTTCAACTTCAAGGTAAGGTCTGCTACGTCATGGCAATAAAATTGTGTCTGGGTAGATCTTGAAAAGTAACCCAGCTCCCGACAAGCCCTTATGTGGCACTTTTGCAAATTGGGAATCAATCCCAATTTTCAAAGACTCCCAGAGAATAAGTCCATCAGGATTCATTGTAAAATTTTATCTTTTTTGTAAGTGTATTCTTAATACATATAATTAGATCCCCTTTAGTATATATTGTCCTCAGGGATGACTACTAACTTTGATATCAATATAACCATCAACTTTTAAAAGGTCCTCATCCTGTGGATACCTTTTTCAAACATGCATCTCAATTTTTTTTCTCCAGTAGATAAAATGTATTTCTATTCTTATGACCTAGAGGGAGTGGAAGCTACAGGCATTTAAATGCCTCCAATTTCAGTGGAAGGGCTTAGAAATCCAACTAATTCTAAAACACTCTTTCCTTCTACCCCCTACAGGGGTATCTGTCAGGAAGGTAAAATGAGGTAATGTCTGTAAAGCACTTGGCTTTCCTTGAAGTAAGACCTTACTTAAATAGACAGCAATGCACTCCAACCACACCTGTGGTGATTAGGAGTCCTCTAGGCAGCGCCCGCTTCCCTTTCCCTGCCAACCTTGCAAGTTTGCACAGAGTCTAAATAGACTGGCTTTTCTTTCTCTGGCCTTAATGACTTGTTGATTCCCAAACTAGTTTGATTCAGTCTGACTACAGATTATAGGAACATCTCTTCCTGCTGATATCAGTTTTAGGGAGCTGATAGTCTGATCCTTGGCTTCTTTGCTTTAGGCCACACTATGTGTATTGCTCCTGTTCTTACTTTAGGTTTTTTCTCCACCTTCATCCACCCCAGTTTCTTTTTCTTTTTTAATTTATTTATGCATACAGGAGCTGGGGTGCAGGCCAGAGGTGTGTGTATGGGGGGAGGAGTGGTTGAGAGTTCAAAGCTGTCCGCAGCCACTACAGCACAAGTTCGATCCCCGGCCAGGGAGCTATCCACATGGTGCAGCAGACCTCTTCTAACTCGCCCACTGCTCCCCTCAGCAGTGTATTTCAGTCTATCCTCCTGTTCTGTTCCCCACTCTGTCTCTGGTGAATCCTCTCACCCACCCACCCATACTTCTGGCCTGCACCCCAGTTCTTATATGCATAAATAAATAAATCTTTAAAAAGTAAAAAAAAAAAAAATTAGAATGTCTACTATGTGCCAGGCACTGTTCTAGGCCCTGGAGCTACACAATGAACAAGAGAGACTAAGCTCTTATGGAACTTTTTTCAAGACAGTAATTCTCAACCCTGGCTACATATTGGAAGCACACTGAAACTTTTGAAAAATGCTGATGCCCAAGCCCCATACCAGGCCAATTATATCAGCATCTTTGGGGAATGTGTACATCACAGAATTCCTATTTCATGGATAGCAAAATCAAGCACCAAGCAGTTACTTGGTTTGTTCTCTCTGAAGCAGAATTCCCTATGAAAGACTGAAGCTTCCTATACCTGACTCTTCCCCTTGTGCTCAGAGAACACAGTCCAGAACATTTGCGCTTTCTAAGTTAGAAATGTGGGTCAGGTGGTCCTACCACTGAATGAAGAGGCCCACACCCTCTAATTTTGGTCAGTGCTGTTTGGGGCCATCGTGACCTCCAAGGAATTGGAGGTTAGTTGTTATGACCTGATGTTGGGCTAGAATACTAGAATGCCATACAGTAATTTGAGTAGAACATCTGAAGGCTACTTTATAAAGACTTGTAAGAAAGCCAGAGCCCAGGGAAAAAAGGACGTCTAAAGGTCAGTTTCCTCTGTGACATGTCCTGTCTGGAGGACAATCTAGGTCTCTCCTCCATAGGGTTTGGTCTCCTATAAAGAGAGATAGAGCTGACCATTCCAGGACTTCTCATTCCTGCAGATGAGCGTGACCTTGAAGATTTTCTGCTTGATTTTGAGGAAGATCTGAAAGCCCTTCATTCGGTGCAATGCTCACCTTCCCCAGGTAAGACTGGCATTGGGGTGGCCTCAGCCGTGATGCCCACCTCTGACTCTGAGCCATCAAGCACATTTTGGTTGCATCAAACCAAAATCAATGCCACCTTTGTGGCTTATCCATGTCTCTCCATGGGTAACTGTAAGATATAAATGGTTGTTCCTTGGAGTTGTCTCCATTCAAAAGTAGGATTTTTTTTTAGATTTTTTTAATCAGATGAATGGAAACTAAAAATCCCTAATGCAGTTAGAAGAATATATCATTTAAAAATGATAAATAAAATAATAAAATAAAAATGATATTAGCAATTAAGCCTGAACTATTTTGCAACAGTCTAGCTTTTTGTAATCAATGATGTTTTTTTAAAGTGATTGCATTTAAGTCTTCCCTAATAGATAGTTGGTTAAAACAAATAATAATTTATACAGATAAGGAAAGTCTATATATATATAGAAAAGTAAATATATGTATATGTATTTTATATACTGACTTCACCTAATAGCTCTCAGAAACAGGATAGTCCAATCAAAAAAAAAAACCAAACAAACAAAAGACAGCTGAGAAGAGTTGAGGTTTTATTTTAACAATTAGACTACCATTGCCACCAAACATCAAATATCAAGCTAAACCTAAAATAAGAGTTTCATGACATGCACCTTCATACTAGTCACACTTCTAATAATGTGGAGTGTTCCCTAGGACTTCTTCTCTGTTTACAGAACCTTTTGAATGGTCTTGAAGAATTCTGAAGGGAAAAAAAAAAAAGATAAAAGCCCAAAAGATGTTTTTTTAATCTGACCCCAACATTGTTGTATTTGAGGTACTTTAATCAAGTGATTCAAATTCCCCATCTCCGGGCCTTCCTGGTGGCATAAGGGGTTAAGACGCAACCTATGGAGCTGTCCCTAGCCACTGCAGCAAAAGTTCGATCCCCGGCCAGGTTGCTGCCACGTTGCGCGGCAGACCTCTCCTGCCTCACCTGCTGCTCCCCTCAGCAGTGTGTTTCAATCAATCCACCTGTTCTGTTTCCCACCCTGTCTCTGGTGAATCCTCTCAACCCCCACAACTCTCTGACCTGTGCCCCAGTTCTTGTGTGTATAAATAAAATACATCTTAAAAAAAAAATAAAGAAATTCCCCATCTCCATTCTCTGTGCCTAGCATGAAAAGGTGACAAAAGCTCCAGTCAGTGCTGCATGGGATCTGAGGCTATAACAGGTGGTTTAACAAAGAGCTTGCCCCAGGGCACCCTGTGTTAACTAGGGCTGTTACAGGCCTCTGCTCAGTGTCCTTAGAGGAAAAACAATAAGGTAATCTGGCAAAAACTATAAACCCTAATTTAATACCCAGGCTTTGTCTTCCATGGCCCTCTAGGCCCCTTCAAACTCTGCGAGTACCTGTTCGGTAGCTGGCTGATCCGGATAGGAGTGTGGACCATAGCGGTTTTGGCACTTACTTGTAACGCCTTGGTGACTTCAACAGTGTTCCGAGCCCCTCTGTACATTTCTTCCATAAAACTGCTAATTGGGTTGATCGCAGCGGTGAACATGCTCATGGGGGTCTGCAGCGCGGTGCTCGCTGGCGTGGATGCCTTCACTTTTGGCAGCTTTGCGCAGCACGGGGCGTGGTGGGAGCAGGGCATCGGCTGCCAGGTCGTCGGATTTTTGTCCATTTTTGCTTCGGAATCGTCTGTTTTCCTGCTCACCCTGGCAGCCCTGGAGCGTGGCTTCTCTGTGAAATACTCAGCAAAGTTTGAAACGAAAACGATTTTCTCCAGCCTGAAAGCTGTCATCGCGCTCTGCGTGCTGCTGGCGGCCACCATCGCCACGGTGCCCCTGCTGGGGGGCAGCGAGTACAGTGCGTCCCCACTCTGCCTGCCACTGCCCTTTGGGGAGCCCAGCGCCTCGGGCTACACGGTGGCGCTCGTCTTGCTCAATTCCCTCTGCTTCCTTGTGATGACCATCGCCTACACCAAGCTCTACTGCAATTTGGAAAAGGGAGACCTGGAGAATATTTGGGACTGTTCCATGGTGAAGCACATCGCCCTGTTGCTCTTCACCAACTGCATTCTCTACTGCCCGGTGGCTTTTTTGTCCTTCTCCTCTTTACTAAACCTCACATTTATCAGTCCCGAAGTAATTAAATTTATTCTTCTGGTGATTGTCCCGCTTCCTGCCTGTCTCAATCCCCTCCTCTACATCCTCTTCAATCCCCATTTTAAGGAAGATTTGGGGAACCTAGGAAAGCGAACCCACTTCTGGACAAGATCAAAACACTCAAGCCTCATGTCTATTAACTCTGATGATGTTGAGAAACAGTCCTGTGACTCCACCCAGGCCTTGGTGACCTTCACCAGCGCCAGCATAGCCTACGACCTGCCTTCCAATTCCGGGGCCCCACCGGCTTATCCTTCGACTGACAGCTGTCATCTTTCATCGGTTGCATTTGTCCCATGTCTGTAATCAACAGAGAAGAGAAAACCTTTTCAAAAATTGAAGATCCAAAAACATGAACTTGAGTACATCAGAGAAGTAGTTAAAATGAGCTGAGCTGAATTTGATTTTGCTTAAAATCTTCCAGTGTGAAAAAGCTAACAAACTGTTAATACGGGGGACACAAAAAGTAAATCTAAATGCTGCTTGTATAATTTGTTCAGCTAAGAGATAGAGCAGTCACACTATTTAGATAAACCCGGCTTTTGAGTGAGAGAGAGAGAGAGAGAGAGAGAGAGGAGATTCTCTGTGATTTTAATGGAATTCTCTTAAACTTACTAATCTAATGATAAGGGAGCATAACCACTTGCTCACAAAAGGATTTTTTAACCTAAAAACTCCTCAAATGGTGACTGGAGGTAGTAGGAAATAGGGTTTTAAATGGTCTATGTTACTAAGTAAAAATTGTGACCAAAGGACTTTATTTTAATGACTTCATGGAGATGTTTTAATCCTCCTTGGCGTTTCCTCAGAAAGGATCCTTCCAGGTCACCAGCTCCCCTCCTACCCCCATGGATAAAGTAAGACATTATTCACTCACTGTGTTCACATTTTTTGGAGACACAAAGTTTCCTATATCAGCATTAGATAGTCCCCACCTTCAGTGGAATGAAATTGCTTACAAATACTTTGAAAGATAAATGAACTCAAATTCTTAAACTGTCACTAAGGCAATCATGTATAGGTAAGTTTTGCCTTACCTAATTTATTTTTTAACTCCTTGGTTCCCAGAGTTCAGAAGACAAGTCCATTGCCAGCAATGGACACGTCTAGAAAAGATGGTAAGCAACCTGGAATTTTTTTTTTCCTGGGTGGGTGCTCATTTTTGGCATGAGTTGTATCAGTTGGCTGCATTTTAAAGTAATGATCAAATGTAGACGTGACATAAATTCACTGACACAACTTCTTATAGTTTCTCCAGTAACTCTTGCAACTATGTTTGAAACCACTTGGGATTCAACAGAGACTTGATAACATATAATGCTGATTATTTAGCTTGGTTTTAGCTGTGTTGTCTTTGGATCATCCTACCTGATGTCAGGAACATGACCTCTATACGTATTCCATTTTAAATACATGTTTTGGGTATTTTAAAAGCCAAAAGCATTAAATATTGTAGGTCACAGGATTAATTCAAAACGACTATTCTATATTAGTTTCAGTACAACAAAACCAAAAGACTGTTAGGTAGATTTATTTTTATATAAGCATGTTTATTTTGATCAGATGTTTTAACTTGGAATTGAAAAAAATACATTTATGAGATGTTTTATAAGATGTGTAAATATAGAACTGTATTTATTACTACAGTAAAGATTCAATGACACTAAGGATCATGATAATAAACCATGTACAGTGGCATATTCTTCCATATATATTGTTTCTTTGTCCACTCTCTTTAAATTCATTAACTGTATATAATATATGTAAATGTATAGTACTTGTAAATAAATTCCAAACTTGCTTTTCTATTGGATGCAAAATAAAAGAAATTTGTAATAAAATGTGTGACTGTAAAGCAAAGAATTTTAAGTCTTTTATTGGGCCCACAGACAAATATATGGTCTCCTAAATGCTTTTTAATTTCTGACATGTAAGTACATTTGATATCTAGATATCACAATATTTTGGGTATTTTGGACTTAAAAAGAAATCTTTCCACAAGAACAAGTCAAAATATCTTTACCAACTCCTGCGTTGCTTTAACTATGATGGATAGGCCATTTTATCATGATGAATGACTTGGCCAAGTTTATTGTCCCTGGTAATAGTTTAGATTTCAAAGCCAGAACCTACTTCTTTGGCAGAGTAAAACAACACAATTAGAAAGAAATGTATAAATCAATCTTAAAATTATTCAACACGAACAAGAGTTTTCTATAAATTCTATCTTTAAAAAAACATACTTCATGGCCATGAGAGATCAAGGCCAAAACTTGAGAACACGTGGTTCCCAGGGCACAAAGAAAAGTACTGTTCCCCATTCCCCTTCAGTTCCTCTACCCCAAAATGTAAGAAATGAAATGATTTTTCTAACACCTGTGCCAGACCCTCTACCTTCACCCCTGGCTCCTCTTTGTCCATACAGATTGTAAATGAAGGCCTCCCTGGTGGCACAAGGGGTTAAGCTCACAGCACTATGAAGCTATCCGCAGTACGAGTTTGATCCCCAGCCGCCAGGGTGGTGACACACATGGCACAGCAGACATCTGCTGTCTCTCCCGCTGCTCCCCTCAGCAGTGTATTTCAGTCAATCTGCCTGTTCTGTTCCCCACTCTGTCTCTGGTGAATCCTCTCACCCCCCACATCTCTGCACCCAGCTCTTGTTTGCATAAATAAATAAATATTTTTAAAAAATAAAAACACCTCAAAAAGACAGATTTCAGAATGCTTCCAGGTTGAACACATGGAGATTTGGGGACAGTAGCTCACCAGGCACAATCATGGCAGCACCATACTCTTTCCCCATACCTTGCCCTATTACACTTTTCCATCTGATCCTGAGTTACATCTTTTTTCAGTAAACTAGTAATCTAGTAAGTAAATCATTTCTCTGAGTTCTGTGAGCTGCTCCACCAAATTAGTTGAACGCGGGATGGGGGAGGGCTTTAAAACGTTCTATCCAGAGCGGGTTGGTCAGAGCACTCGTAACAAACTGGCATCTGTGATTGGTATCTGAATGGGGGACTTGAAGAGGAGGTGGGGAAAACCCACACATAGAAATTACTGTCAGATTTGTAGAAGGAATTTTAGAGATTTAGGAAACTGCTAGAAAAGGCAGTAAAATTTTAAATCAGCATCCTGAAAACTAGAGTTTATAGCTGATGGACATTCAGTCAGTCTCTTCAATGATGATAAAGACAGACTGGAGTCTAAACAAGTTCCTCAATTTCTCCAGCTCCTGACTACCTCTGATTTTTTTTTTCCTCAAACTACTGATGAACTCTTGAAGAAGATCGCTGGTTTGGAATCTATTCTTTCTGCTGTGGTCTCTCCCCAGTTAGTGAGAAGGGAAGATCAAAGTTCAATAAGCCAGAGAGTCACAGCACAAAATCCTGGAAAGCACCTGCACAAGGAGGATGGAGCACCAAGTAACCATGCCACAGACCAAATGTTCTGTTTATGTTTCAAGTCCTTGTAGATCTGCCTTTTACTCTGCTTTGCATCTTTCTTCACCCTATTTTTCATCCCAGCCTGTAAATATTAGAATACTGAGGTGACAGATTCGGTGTGGTTAGATAGGTATCTGTGATCATAAGTAATGGAAAGTAGAGAATAATTAGGAGGAAACAAGTGCAGTAAGAAAAAAAGAGGTCTCACTGGAGCCCAGGGACAAGAAAACTGGACCACAAGACCTTAGCTTGGTATTGAAGAACTGAGAGATTTCAACCCAGCTCTAAGAATGGATTGTTCTTGTTACATCCTTAAATACATGGCTCCCATCATTAAAGTGACCCAGTTTCTCTTTACTTCAACCACTTCTCTTGCTACCAATTGACCATCTCTAATCTGTAATTTTTCTCTAAGTCATAGCTTTGCTTATTGGTAACTTGGATCACTCTTTTTTTTTTTTGCTTATTTATTTTTATGAATTATTTTATTTTATGTAAGTCTTACATCATTTTTCATTTTTGCATAATGTATGCATTTAATTTTGGTTATATTCCCCATACAATTCCCACCCCCTTTTTCTGATCACTCTTAAGCCACCTGTTCCCCATACCACCACCTAGGGTTTCACTCCAGGATCCATGGTTACTAATGCTTTCATGTCTCCCTCTATATCTTCCATTCCCACTCTAGAAGGGAAAGAATGTGACTGAGCATTGTTGTCCCAGGGGCAGAACTTTGGGGGCTAGGCCACCTCAGAGATCATTGCTCAGGAGTGGTTAAATTGCTTCTGGGTCCCATGAACCCTTTGGATCCAATTTGTCATGGAGTAATAGGGGAGATCAGGGTAACATGATCAAAACCCTTAGCATCTATGCTTAAGGAACCAACCAGAGCCACCTCCTTCTGCAAGCAATCATGGGCAAGAATCTTTTAGAAGAGTCTGAAGGCTAGCAGGCTCTTGATTGTCCTGTTCTGTACATGTGACTAATTTTTATTTTCCTTACTATAGGAGACAGGTTGGAGGTACTTGTCCTGCCCATACATGTCATGTAGTTACAATTGCTTCCCAGTCACAAACCCTAGTGAGTTTTCTTTGACTTAGTCAGATGAACCAGATATGCTTTCCAAAGCTTTTGGAATTAGGACATCAAGATAATCTAAGTCAGATGATAATGGAACAGGTACTGGAACTGAAAGATCAAACAGAATTTTGGCTGGCATTGATACCACAAGAAGCCAAAATTGTGTTTAAGTTTTGGGAAGCATAAAAGCAATGCAGAGAAAAAAAATGAAAGACTGGGATAGCAAACAGAAGAGAATAGAAGAGGTAGACAGCATCTCTGGGTTAGAGAGGCTTGCTAGAAAATTTCATTCCCTACATAGCCTGGTCTTGCTTTTTCTTCTGTTCTTAGATATCCAGAGAAGTTGTTTTTTACAGCCTTTTGATTAATCCTCCTTTTCACTGAAGCTAGCATGCAGAACTTTTTATTGGGGTTATTTTGTCTCACAAACAACTAAAATGTTACCTCTGCTGTCCAAATGATTCTAAATACCACTGTACTGAATTTGCTAAATGTCTGGGTAAGAGCTTGTCCTCTACCCCTCGCTCCCCCAAGTTCTATAGGCATAGGGGAAAACACAGCAACGAAGTGCCATCACCTCCACCGATATGTCATTTTCTCCCCCATTTACAATGGCTACTCATATATTTATATACATATATTCACATTTATATTTAGATACAATCTCCAAAATGACGTTGGCATTTACATAAAATACATGCGGTACATAGATATGGAATTTCTCATCTAAGACTCTAAGCTATTTTTAAGAACTGCCTTTCTGTTCTCAAATAGGATATTTATTTATTTACTTAAAGATTTATTTATTTATGCATACAAGAGCTGGGATACAGGCCAGAGGTGGGCGGGGGGGGATTGAGAGGATTCACCAGAGACAGAGTGGGGAACAGAACAGGCAGATCCGGGCCTCCCCTGGTGGCGCAGCGGTTGAGCACTGGGCTGTGAAGCTGCCCGCAGCCTCTGCAGTGCCGGTTCGATTCCCGGCCACCAGCAAGGGTCCCACATGGCATGCAGACCTCTCCTGTCTCGCCAGCTGCCCCCCTCAGCAGTGTATTTCGTCGGTCTGTCTGTTCTGTTCCCCACTCTGGCTGTGGTGAATTCTCTCACCCTTCTGCTCTTCTGACTGTACCCAGTGCTTGTATAAATAAATAAATAAATCTTTAAAAAAAAAAAAGAAAGAAAAACAGAACAGGCAGATCCACTGAAATACACTGCTGAGGGAAGCAGCACACCATGGGAGCAGAGGTCTGCCACACCATGGGGGCTGCTCCCTGATTGGCCGGGGATTGAACTCATGCTGCAGAGACTGCAGATTGCTTCATAGTGCAGTGTGTAGGGTAAAGAAAATGTCAGGCTTTTCTGCCCTCCCGCCATCAGGATAGATGATGGATCCTTGCGGTCCTGAATGCATGCCTGATGGCGGGCACCTGGAATAAGGGTGTGGGCATAGGTAGATGGGATTCACCCTGGCTGCCGTGTACCTGGTAATCCCAATAAAAGCCTGCAAAGCCTCTGAGGACTCTGACTCCTCCTTTACCCAGTCAGCTGGATCAGAAAACCTGCACTGTGTCCAGTCCTGCCTTTACAAGTGCTTAACCCCTTGCGCCACCAGGGCACCAGGGAGGCCCTCAAACAGGATATTTAGACAGAGAATAGTGGGGCAGTAGATCAGACAGCCCCACCTCTGAGTGCCGGTGCCACATTGTACCCACTGGAAGGCAGATTCCTCACTTTTGGGCAGGCATAGTCCTTCATAGAATGTAGACATATTACTTAATTCCCCTGACAGCCACTTCCTCATCTATAAAATGGGGATGGCAATAGCATCTACCTCAAAGCTTAGCCTGAGGGATTGTTAATGTACCAAGCGTTCAATCCTTTGTAAACACTCAATAAATATCTAGCTATGTTCTGGAGTTTGGGAGACTCCAATAAATAGAATCTGTCTTCCCTGCTTTGTTTTGAACCTGTTGAAAACCGGGACAAACAGTAAGGCAGCTGGAGGTCAAACATCACCTTTATTGCTGATAAAGCTAATAAAAGAAAACAGGGCTTTCATCTGCAGCTAGCAGCCTCCCTAATGCTTAACCTGAGAATTCAGCAGCCTTGTCTTCCCAGCCACAGGGAAACTGGACCACCACAGTTCTCCCTACTTAGGGGCATGTTAATGTAAAGTAACATCACAGAAGAGCAGAACCAAATGTTATGTTCTTGAGGGTGGCAGCAGAGGGAAGAAAAGCTGAATCCTAAATTCTAATAAAATATGTCACTTATTCTCCCCAGGGGAAAAGTTAGTGAGAGGGTGAAATGCTACCGAA